CGACAATGACCAAAATGCGCAAAGTCTTTCGAATGACGAAAAAGACAAAAGCAAAAAATTGTCTGATAGAACACCTACCAGTGCTTCCCTCAAACTTCCATGTTTGTTTTGAATCTTTTATAAATGCATGAAAAGCCTTTCTCTTGAAATCTTCAAAATGTCGTTCAATCGACTTCCATTGTAGACACACTTGAGCATAGTATTCCAGTTCTCTTCCATAGATAGCTTCATTTAGTATGCTACCTTTCACTACCAGAGATCGACATTTATCTGTAATATCCTTCTCAAATTTTTCTTTCAGCTCTTTTTCTTTTTCGTCCAAGAACATTTTTAAATGTTTGACAAAAGTTTTACCATTTTTTGTACGCAAATGTGCACAACTTCCCACATTTTTTCCAAACATTCGAACAGAATCTTTGATTTTATGGATAAAAGTTTGTATTTGTCGAAGAGTACAATGAACCAGATCATGCATACGATGTACAATGTCGGACATTTCCTCATGTTGCACTGAATTGGCATGAAGAAGCCACATAGGTGGTTCTTTTTGTTGAATAATTTCAATTTTAATTGAATCGATATCATTATCCATTGACAAAAGTTTCAGGCGTTCTAAAACGATATCAGGATGAACCGAGACAAGGTCGTCTCTGTCTGGTAAAATGTATTTCACGTCTTTCAAATCATTTTTTGCTTTCGAGATATTGAGGGAAGCACTGGTAGGTGTTCTATCAGACAATTTTTTGCTTTTGTCTTTTTCGTCATTCGAAAGACTTTGCTCATTTTGATCATTGTCGTCGAAATTTCGAGCAATCGTTGAAGGGGTGTTTTGCAATTCGGAACTCGATGTAGGCGCCATGGTGGTGATAGGAAGCCTTGTAAGGGCTGATTTTTTGTCGTTGTTAACGAGAGAATTTTTTTCGCTATGTTGATGGGTATTTGTATTTTCCGTATTGTTCGTAGGAATTTTTTGACGAACTGAATTGGGCGGTTCGATAAGGATTTTAGTTAGTGAAGATATGGATTGTTCTTCTACTTTCGTTTCTAAACTTTCAAACCATGTCGCCCATGGATCTTCATCGTCTTGTCCTTTTGATCTTGCCATACTACTGTCTTCTTTTTTCGTTTGTTGAGTATTTTAAAAATACTTTGCTTTTTATAGTAATTTTCTCCTTATCTTTTATCACTGTTAAAACAGTGTCGAAATTCCCAGTTCTTTTTGGTTGGAAATAACACGTTACTTTTTCCTCTTTTTGTTTTCTTTCGTTGCTGCTGACTTGCACAACTGTACCTTGTCGATAATCTCTTCTTATTCACGTCTCATGTTGGAAATTTGGACTTTTTTTAATCACTTTTACAAGGCAATATTGTTTGCGAACAAATAAACGAGGGCTTATCTAACCCACAAAAAAAGTCCCAGAATGACTCATTTTATAGTTACTGTAAAGAAGGAGTGCTGGAAAGAAAAGAAAAGAAAAGATGATTAACTCTCAATGGATAAATACCCAGAGATACACTAGAGCAGACATCACTAGTTTCCAACATGATAAAGAAAAGAATTTATAAGTTATTTAATCAGAGAAGGAAAGAGTATAAAAACGATACTTTCTGATACATATTTCTTCAAGAATTCGTGAAATGACTACCCTAGCGAATGATGAAGATCTTTTTGCTTCCCTCTCTGAAGGTTTGGAAGTAGAAGAGACCCTTGTCGTGCTTCCTTCGAATGGTTCTGAACAACACGACACAAAATATGACCTTGGTAACAATACAAATGATGAACCATCGGAAATATTTTTGCCTATGCCTATTCATCAAGTCGCCTCTCCACTGCTACCACACATTTCCTCTCCAACCGTATCCAATCCCATTCGATTAATGGAACATCCATATGATCTACCAACACGAATGGATCTCGTTTCCATACAAACAATATCAGTGGAACATCATTTAAAAACAAATATACCTATCCCATGGGATGGTAATAATGATTTCGTGCAAATTAGCACTGTTATTAATCCAAATCCACAGTGGATACTACGTGGATACGCAGATCAACATAGAGAAATGGAAGCCATTGTGCAACGGTTACATCAATTAGTAAATGAAACAAATGAACAAGAAAAGCGAGTAGAAAGAGAGACAATAAACTCTATCAACAAACTTATTTCCAAAATATGGTTAACAATGAAAGTGGAAAAAAACCAAAAGAATGGAACTCGATTTATTACATGTTTGAACGATTTACTGAACAGGCAAACGAATCATCTCTTGGAAGATTTTAAAAAGTCTCTCCATGATAAATCTCGATCACTCGTCGAAGTCGGATGTATACGAATGATGGTTCGATATGACGATGAATTGAAGAAGTTAACAGAAACTTTTTTGGAAAAAAAAGTAATTGAACAATCCTTTGAAAAAATGACATGCGCTGCCTATTCCGAATTTAATCAAATGTTAAAAAGCGAAATACTTCAACAAGAGAATGGTATTCATGGAGATGTTTCCAAGGTATTAGGTAAGTTATTATACTCTTAAGAGAAGCAAACTTTTAAGGAATACTAAGGAGCATCACTCCTTCAATGTTGAATACCTTCAAATTCTGATCAAGAATGTATACGTTTCCTTCTAAACCTTTTTTGAAAAAGGTCAAAACCTTCAAAGACCTTTGCAAAGTTTTTGATTTTCAGCAGACGTCATGTCCTGACTTAGATGCAAGGTATCTTCGATAAATCTCCAAAATGTTACTATGCAGACACAATTTAATTCGAAAAACGTATCGCGATATGATATTTTGATCCAAAAGCAAATTAAATTTAATCGCGCTGTTAAAAATTACACAAAAAAAGTTGAAATGACACTAACTAATAATAGATTCAGACTTTTTTAATGTTTCGTTCGTCAACCTTTCGCTTCGGAAAACGAACATGTACTTAAGATCGAAAACAACTTATTTTTCATTCTCATGCAAATGATCTCACATCCTTTCCTCTTTTTCTCTTCTATTCTTAGATCATCATTTAGAGAAACTAGAAGATCAATTAACTTCAGAAGCAGTATATATTGGTACAGACAAAGAAAATTTTACATTATTGTCAAGTCTTTTAAAACGATCGGAACTCTTTTGTTACTGTGACACATTTGGTCTACCGTTATTCAAAGAATCTATTAAGATACTAGAAAAAATAGATCAACATCCTGTAGTTAGTATTTCAACACCAACTGGCTCTGGAAAGTCCACTTTACTTCCCTTATTACTCACTGCCCATGGCTATGATAAAATATTAGTAACACAACCACGTCGTCTGGCATGTAATCTTCTATCAACACGAGTAAATGATAAAGTAAAGAAACGAATTAGTGGATGGGCAGTCGCAGGCGCTCGATCAAAAAACGATTCCAATACGCAAATTATTTATCTTACTGATGGACTTCTTAAAACATACTTACAATTAAGTGAAGGAAACATTTTCAATCTAGTTGAAGAATGTAAACAGGGAATTGTATATTTCATCGATGAAGTCCATGAAAGATCGATTAACATCGATCTTTGCGTGGCTTTTCTTTCTCGTTTACTAACACAGTATGATTTGAAAGGCAAAATCAAGGTTATAATCTCTTCTGCTACGTTAGATCCTTCTTTTGAAAAAGTCTTTCACCATATCAATTATCACAGTCTAAAAATTTCGATAAGACCCTTCTACAATGTTATAGTACACAAAAATTCAAGAGAGAATCTGTTCGATTTAATTGAACGTCTCTTCAAAGATATTAAACGAGGAGAACAAATCTTATGTTTTGTTAAATCAACGAGCGATGTTTACCATTCAATAAAACTACTTGATCAATTGAAGAAACTTCTATCCTATCCTCTTGTTGAATCTCAGTCTCCTCTCACTCAACAAAAACTGATTGCGGAAAAACAGATTTTCTTTTCAACTACCGTCGCACAAACTTCTCTGACTTTTCCTGCTCTCAAATATGTGATTGACACTGGTATAATCAATATGCCCATCTATGATGCACAGACAGACACGACCATTCTCACCGAATTGCCTGCTTCTCATTCAACGATTACGCAACGAAAAGGTAGAGTAGCACGAACTCAAGAAGGTGAGTATTTTCCATTGTACAATCCCCACGTGGAGCGTCCTGATTTTACTACACCACAAATTTATCAAACGGAACTAAGCGATGTTGATTTTGCATTGCGGAAATCATCGGAAGAAAAAGATTCGCTTGCAACATTCAAACAATGGTTGCCTGATCAACCAAGTCAAGTTATCATTGTTCGAGCTCGTGATCGATTAAAAAAACTTGGTATTTTGAACTGCAATGAACGATTCTCGGATGATGGAAAAGCTATTGCAAAACTGCCGGACTTTGGTAGCATTTCGATGAAAATATCCGTTTATTTTGGTCTTACTAAAGAAAAATGTGGTCAAGATATGATTCGTCTAGCCGCTATTCTCAGTGTTCTAAACAATACTTTCATTTTAGGTAAACTTCCTCTTCAATTCAAGCAAGAAGAAGAAGGTGACTATATGTCTCTTCTTACCATGATGAATACTATCATTGAAAACCCAAATATGATCAACAATAATGAGTTGGACGACATCGATCACTTACTTCGCCGTGCATTATTACGTTGGGAAACATTTCAAAGATTTTTCAAAATTAATGAAGACGAACATTTAAGAAATCTTTCACAAACTTTTTCAGGAAAATGGTCGTACATAGCACGTGCATTGCTCGCTGGACATAGTGAAAATGTCTATGTAGCTTTGAAAGAACTAAATGGAAGAATCCATCAATATTGTCGTTATAACGATGTCACTGAAGAGGAAACACGCAAACAAATAGCAAAACTCGATAAAGCAACAACACTTTCTCGACTACCGCAACCCTCAATAGTTCTTGCACGAGATGTAATATGTACAACAGACGTACGAAAACTTAGCATTTTATCCTTTATCGGTTCCATTCAGCCTGCTTGGCTTGACAAAAGTTTGATACGCAAATTCGAATTAACAAGCAAAGAAATAATTTATTTCCAAACAAATATACGGCCCAGTGATGATTTTAAACTAGTTTCACAACACGTTTGTAATACGGTAGATAATAAAGCCCTTGAGTTAAGTGGAAATGCAGGACAAGTGTTTGAAACAGAACGCTTTATATGTCAACAACTGATCCGACCACATGATTGGAATTTAGTAGATGATGATCAATTATGTCGCGATAAAAATTTAAAAATGAACGTTGAAAGTATAAGAAAAGGTCTATCAATGTTTTTCCCACTGATATGGAGATTTGAGAATGAAAAACAGGCTATCGTTCGTGTCATGAAAGATGGAATATATAGTTGTAAAATATTAGTGGAAAGTCGTGATAAAGATAATGAAACGATAAGAGAGGAATTTGATTATTTTGTCAAATGGCTCCGTAAATGTGTATCAATCCAACATTTACATTCGGGTATTTCACCTCAGCGTCTACAGAAACCCGATGCAGAAATCGAAGAAAGAATCAGACTAGTTGCCGATCCTGGACGAACACAAGTCGACCTAATGCAGGATGTTCTATATGGAAGCCGGGAAATTCGTATGCAAGTTGTCGCATGGATTGCTGTCGTTGAGTTTGATTGTAAATTAGAAGGCGGTTTCATACGAGATTGGATTATTGATCATCGTTCTTCACGACCATCAAATCTTGATCCAAAGATATGGATGACATTCAATCCAAAAACTGGACTACCTGAACTTGATTCGAATTTAGTTCCAGCTGATTTGGATTGTTATTTGCCATTGGATAAATATTTTGATCTAGAACACTTTATCGATAGAATGCATCCTTTTAAGATAAAAGTGAAACCATTTCGTCAACCATGGCGTTATGTTCTTCTTTTTGATGAAGATGCTCCAACTGGACCTTTTATCATGGACTTAATCGAACCACACATCGCTCTAACCCATGATCGCATCGATTTCAATGTAAACAATCTATATGTGAAACGTGGTTTTACACGAGAATTGGGACAAAGAATCGATCTAAGTGAACCTCCTTGTTCAATTCAGTTGGATGATATAATCGATGATATACGTAAATATCAGTTTCGAATACTTCGACCGATTGATGAATTTATGGAAGAACGAATTGTTAAGATGAAACGACGTGGTTATAAACAAATAGGTGAACCATTTTCTATCATTCCTACGCCTCCTAGTAAATATAGAATGGTTTCAGTTGAATTATCTTCTCACTCGCCCGAGTATAAACGGATACAAGAAAAATTTCGAGAAAAATTGTCCGATTATTATATTTTTTCAATTGAAGAAATAAAAAATGATGAAATACAAAAAGCATATGAAGCTATGAAATGTATAATCGCTCATGAGTGTCCAAATAGTAATTCAAACGAAATGAAATTGTTTCATGGCACTAGAACGCGAAACATAAATAGTTTATTAGAGAATGGTTTTGATGACCGATATTTTAACATCGAAGCGCATTATGGTAAGTTAAATCACCATTGTTACACCTAGTTTTTCTTTTCTTTCTCTTAGGTCACGGAGCATATTTAGCTGACGATCCATCAAAATCTCATGAGTACACTAGTTTAGATGATGATGTACAGATGATGTTATATTGTAAAGCAATCATGGGAAACATAGATGTTATTAAAGGTGAACTAAATGGCGATAAAGTCAAGGCCAGTGCAAGCATAGGATATCACTCGAGCAAGGGACTACCGGGGCCAGGATTACCAGCTGAATATATTGTATATCGAAATACTCAAATCATGCCTAATTTGAAAATAACTTACAAGAAACGAAAATAAGATATTTGTTTACTTTTTCTTTTTTTTTTGTCATTTTTCAGAATATTGTAGTTTCTTGTTCAAAAATTTTTCTGTGAGAACAAATGCTCTTTCTACATATGTGACCAATTGTGGTTTGAGATCAGATTAACAAATATCCGTCTTTTCTGTCTTGAAACCACTAAGCCTGTTAGGAATTTTACATTTTTAGCCAGTGCAGTATGCGATGGAGTCTCACGATCGACTATCGTAAAGCCTTAAACAATAGAGAATCAAAAATTGCACATAAACATGCGTTTCATGCTGTTTATCATTTTGAGATCCCATCAAAATTCAATCAGCAATGATAATAGTTTTTCTTTAATTTTTGCTGAGTTTTGTACAGCCAAGTATTATTAGACTTGAAATTTCTGGAAGCTTGTTTACTTTATTTCCAGCTCATCCACATATAAACCTTTAGGAAACTAAAATATTTTGAAAAAGAAGATTGAATACGACAGAACTCGCCAAGCTATACCGGATGAAGTATTGTAAGTTATATAATGGTTGAAATACAAGAAGACATTCTCTTTTTTTGCTATCTGTTTATATTGTTGTTGTGTTTTTCTGATACTGAAAATTTGTTTTGAGGCTTCAACTTTTGTCGAATCCTTTATCTTTTAAATATCCTGGGTCAACCTAACTAAGTTAAATTATTTTAACAAATTAAAGTAAACGATAAGTATTCCACTCCTGGAGAGAAGAAAAAGTCACATTTCCTCAGCTGAAAATTGAATAGAGATGCTGTACAAAGACTTTTTACACGCAGATTTATATACTTTCAAGCATATTCGATGAAGTAGTGAAACGTCTTTTGAAAAAAAAAAAACTTTCTTCCTTGTACAACAAGTTCTTGGGATAATTTATAGATTAAAGATCAACTTTCAGTAAAACATATTGTAAATGGCCCTTTTCCAACAAAATACTCTCAACATGTAGGTCCAATCATGGGCATATGTAATTATATCTGAAACGAAACAGGAGGATCCATAACATTTTCTCATAAACTTATAGTCTCTTCTTCTTGTTGTACAAAAAGTTTTACAAAAACATACTTTTCTTATTGCGATTTCAATCACTATCAAATAATGATCTTGTTTCAAAGACTGTTATCATCTATCGATATTTTCTAGTCGCCAGAAGCATGTCTCCAGTAATACGAAAGAAATTCTTTTTTCATCAATGAAGTAAAAAAGTGTGAGTGTTCTTTATTTTTCTTATATTCTCAGCCATGTTAAAAGAAAAAAAGAAATATTGTCCACAACATACCTCGATTTCTTTTGTTATCCTTCGAAACATTCGACATCTATTGACCTTAGATCAACATCATCAACTTCTTGAGAGAACAGAACACGTATGAGTATAAGTTACTTTAAAAAGTACTTATCTATTCTATAAGATCATTTTTCTGTTGTTCTGTTAGGCATCGGGCGGCGCTCAGAGAGTGAGATAATTTTGAAAACTCACAATCGTATCTCAACGCATATATCGATGCATGGTTGTCTTGAACAAATATAATAAAGACTGTCAGTCGTAAACATTGATTACAAAATATAAAAAGAGTGTATAAAGAAAGGTTTGAAAACTGCAAATACCCGGCGTTGGGACTATTTATGGATACTACTCTATTTTGAAAAGATCGAAATTTAAATATCGGTTTCGCAGAAAATTCATAGATTTCAATAAGAATTTTTATTAAAACTGAAAATTAACTCATGCCGATTTTCTAATATTTCTCTAGTGCCATATCAAGGTGAAGCAGTGCTGCATAAGTCAAAAATGTTTAGAAAACAAAATTGTTTGAAAAACTGCACAGCAAAAAGAGTGTGAAAATAGCCTTTTATTACACCAGATAAAAACAGCTTTAAAATGGCTGGGAATCAATTTATTAGCGGAATCACTTTTTATCTGGGGCAGAGGAGGGGCATGAGTTTGCATAACATTGCACATCAGTATAGAAAAAATCTTAAGACATTTTAGAAAATTGATATTGAAGTGTTTCTCGACTATTCATTCCAACAGTAATTTTTGCTCTCCAACCATTCTGAAGATCAACTTCTTCGCTTCTTTCCATTGGAGCTTTTGCTGCCCATTGATTAATCCGAAAACCAAAAACAACATCTTTTCCACCATCTTGTTTGAATCTCATGGTGCTCATTGCGCCGATACTTTTTGCATTAATTTCTAATCGTTTTCTCACATTAAAATAAGGAGGAATTTTCACATTGTGAAACACATGATCTGGTCTGGAATCTCCATTTCAATCATGATTTTCTACATCAGATACTTCAATTTGGAGAGTAACATTACTATTGTCTAAATCGAGAAAAGTTTCGAGTGAATTATAAAATATCCTCCTGATTTGTTTCTTAAAATATTGAACTGCTGTATCAGATGCTGTTTTGACAAAACTGGACAAATAAATGAGAATCGTTGTTGCCATTATTGTTGCCTGTTGCTCGTTTTGGATTTTATTTTGTTCTTGTTCGAATATTTCTTTCAAATGTACAATGTATAATTTGTCATATAGGAGTGATGAACTTTTCCCATGACAAATAGTGCCAGGTAGAAGTATGACTTCCGCTTCATTTTTAATAGCCGAAAAATCAGAGATATCTTTGGATCGCTTGCATTCAATTGCAAAGGCTGTGCTCCTCAAACCAATCAATGGTTCAATAACTTTGAGATCTCTTGTACATGAATTAAAACTCGACCAAGTAAATGTCATATTGTCGAAGTAAAATGACCCAATATCCTGTGCTATTCCACGCGATATTGTTTCACTAGTTACATCAGGCAGTTTTTCTAAGACTGGCATTATTAATCGTATAAAAGAAAACGAAGGTTTCAATGTTTCATTATTCTCCTCTCGCAGAGCTTTGTTTAATTGTTCATAAAATACAGTTGGCATCGTATAAAGATAAATCGCACCGGATTCATCAGCCGTCAATAAGTTTGACGTTTTGTTACATAAATTTTTTTGCGTGATGTACAATTGTAAGTAGCATTGTTATAGAAGGAACGATTGATATAACGGATTCTTCTAGAGTACAAATCGAGGCAGACAAACTTTTGAGAAAACGCGTTTAAACGCACAGAAATCGGCCTAAAATTAGCAAAAAGTGGACGTTTTCAGATCACACTTGAGGTTCCTGACTGTGAGCCGAAAATGCCTATTTTTCGCTCTTTTTATGCGTTTAAACGTGTTTTCAGACCAATAAAACGCGTTTACAGGCATACAAAAAAGAGAAAAAATTGTTGTGTTTTTCCAGCTGAAGAAACGTGACTGTAATCATGATCGAGCATCCCGAGTCTGAAAAAACGACCACTTTTTCTCTTTTTTGTAAGCGTATAAACGCGCGTTTTATCTGAAATGTGTTTAAATGCACAAAAAGGGTGAAAATGGGCGTTTGTGGCTCACAGTCGGGAACCTCAAGTGTGATCCGAAAACGTCCACTTTTTACTGATTTTAGGTCAATTTCAGTGTGTTTAAACGCGTTCTCTCAAAAGTGTGTCTGCTTGGGAAGAGGACAATTCAAATATCCTCCAATTGGTATTCTATTGATTTCTAGAAGTTGCGAGACATTTTGATCGACGAAACGATCTTCTCAATTTATATTTGCTTTTGGAAAGTCGATTTTGTTATGTGCCATTATTCTGGTTCATTAAAAACAACAAATCCAATGAAGGACAACTTCTATCTGTAGACAATGCGAAAAGAGCTAACTAAAATAACCTACTATCTTTTATTCTCTTTTTCTTTTTTTTCGAGACATGAATTTGTGAACTAGTTTTTATTGTAATTATAACCTGAGATAGGGGAGGAAAAAGAGTCAAGAGAAGAAAACAAATCACGTCAGTCCAACTGGCAGCTATGCCAGAGAACCATGATAGCATCTATAGAGAAAAAATTTCATGATACAAGATGGTGAAAGATGAAATACAAAGGATGAAACTACTAATGTAACAAGTCAAGATACTGATTCAGAGTTGGAAAGATAATGAGTTATAATACGAGTGAAAAAGAAAAAGAGGGAAATATCAGAATAACAACTCTTTTTTATGTTATTATCAGAGTGGTGTGTTTTTCGATAAATAATAAGGATGCAACTTTGCACATGTTCTTTCTTTTCTTTTCTTTCCTACTGTTGTGCGATACTTACTCATGGTTAGTAACTCCGTCCGCTTCACAAAATGCACATTATCTCCTTTTCTGTTACAAGTATGATAGAGTACGGATTTTGTTAATGAATCTCACACAATAAAAAATCGATCTCCTCCTGTGTCAATTATTGCATTTTCGAATTTTTTCTTCCTTTCAACACTTTTTTGTCTGTATAACGTTTCGAATAATGTTATACATGGTGATCGTGACTATTGATCTTTCCGACCTTAGAAGTTCGTAGAAGTTAACTAAAAAAAACTCACAAAAATATCTTATGCAAATAAGAAGCAGAGCCTAGTGAACGCTAGCTCAAACGTTACTTGCATTTTCTTACGATAGAAAATAGTCGGAGAAAATATATGAATGATGTATTTCTTCTACTGATCATTTTTCAATCTCAAACTCCACATTTCAACTTTTATCTTGAAAATTATATATTGTGTCATATGAAAGTCATTGAATTATCGTTAAAGCTATAATTGGTTTGTTTTCAATTAATTTGACCAAACTTGCAACAGTATCATCCCCACCTCTCTTTATGTTTTCGAATTTGTTCCGAACATTCGGAAATCTACTGTCGATTCTACCTGCAATGTTCTGTTTTGAAATCCAAAGAGTCTAGATAGATCGAACAGAACTTCAGCCAAAATTAGAAATAGATTTCGCTTATTTGCTTCGTAACTCATTGCTCTACACTATGAAGGAAAATACAACGAAAATAAGAATTTTCCAATATTTTGGTCGAGACTTGAATTCCTCCATATCGTCACCCATCCATCCTTCCCGTTAATACTTGCTACATGTTTTACTGATAATGTTTTTGTGCAAAAATTTTTTTTTCCTTTCTTTCAATATTGATTACATCTGACATCATCTTATATTCATCCTTTCTTCTATGAAAATGGTTTTTTTCCCATTATTTATATTGAATCATTCTATCTGGAGAAAAAAATCGTTCTCAACAGTTATTTAAAGAGGCAGCAAACTTTTCTAAGCACAACAGTCAAAAAGAAAAACACGAGTACAAAGATGCCCAAAGTAGGAGCAAGTGGAAATATCAACATCGATATATTTTCTGGCATTAAGGATTTGGCAAAGATGTTTAATGATCAAAGTGTAGATCGTGGAGAAGCGACCCAGCTGATTGTTGATCATTTTACTCGATCTTTTCCTGATAAAAATTGTATTGTATGCCATAGTCCACATGTAAAATCACTCAATGGTATGGAACATGACCACATCGAACTACCACGAAAAGTGGGCACTATAGGATATGAAATATATGTATTTGATGATGGGGAATTTACAAATCTTGGCGATGGCGGCTATATAAATTGGGCTTTTGCTGGAAATTTTGTTCGAGATCCTGAAAATGACAAGATAGTCCATTTTTTTAAACGAGAATAACTGATTTGTTCTTCCTTTTTTTCAACGATTTTGAACTATGATCACAATGTTTCAGTTGCTGTGCTAAACAGGATGGGTGTGGGGGTGTGGGTGTGTAGTTAGAAAAGATTGAAATAATATCAATCAATAGCTAACAAGACGCGTTTCGATAAGCGCTATAATTTAAACTTATCAATTGCTTATGATTAGATAGAGGGCACAGTTTTTTCTAGTGCTATATATAGCTATTGTGGTGAGGTGAGAAGAATTGGTGTATTTGGTAGTAGTCATGATTCAACCATTCGGGGGTTGTATGAAAGACGTCAAATTAGAATTAGGAAATGTTTGTCATTTTGATGGATGCTATTTTCGTATATGATTTAATTTCTATCCGGTGGAAAGGATTTGATGTTTTTACTTTTTTCAGTCTATGTATTGAGTGTGGTACCTGTTGAGCATTGATTTTTGTAGAATATATTTTATAAACTGTTTTTTTAGAAGATGTGCTCGTGTCTTTTTGCAGCCGTTTATAAGTTTACTGATTGCGTAGGTTTAACTGCAGGACGTTGACGTAGTTTGCGATATTTGTGGTGCTGTTGATGTAGCTGTTGCGGGTGAGTATAGTTTTTGTTGTTCGTGGCTTGCAGCATGTTTGAAAGCTTCTGTATATCTGAAATATAAAATATAGTTTGGCGTTAATTATTCATACTTTTTTCATTGGAAGATAGATATATTTATAAGTAGGTGGTTTTTATTTAGAAATTATAGATGAATCCCATGTAACAATTTTTAGGTTTGTAATGCGTCTCCCAGCGTTTATCGCAAGAGAAGTTGACGCGTTTGTACGCGTCCAAAATGCAACATTTTTGGATGTTCAAACGCATCCAGAAAATCAAACTCGTCTAAACTTATGTGTATTGAAAACGAGCTGTGACGCGTTTATACTTAAAGATGCACCTCAATGCATTTCCTGACACGGATGCGTCTCAGTACGATTATAAATAAAGACACATGTGCTTGCATCAATGTCAATTAACCCTTCATCGGTGTTCTGGGGTCCAAGCGGACCTATTTCACAGTTTTTCGTGCAGTACTACATAGATACTTGTTGTTTCGGTACATTTTTTTGTAATCTCTAGTCATTAGTACATCTACAATATCCTTACCGGAAAACATTAATAGCTCTAAGAAAGAAAAAACGTAGTGGTGGGTCCAGATGGATCCCACGACACCGATCGTGTTATAGACATCATTTTTCGTCTTGCTGAAAGTGCCATCTATCATTTAACAATTTCGTTTTCGACCAGATTCGTTATCATTCGTTTTTACATTTAACACTTATATTGATAATCACATTTCCTTTGAACTATGTAGACTTTGTGATTCACTTTAGATCAAAACTACATTTCATCATTTTATTGTTTTCGTTGCATTCGTGTGAATTTTGTTAAAATCTTCGTAAAAATATAAGAGAAACCAATACATACACATTTTCACACTTTTCTGTTTCTATAGTATGGATGCAGCGCATAAATCGAATTTA